TTTAGCTACACGCTCACTTGGACACAGTCACTGAGAAACTGTCAGGCTGACTGATATGTTGTGTTGAAAGAAAATGAGACAGTCAGTAGTGATTACATATTATCTGATAAACGGACGCATGCTAATCAAATTTCCGTAAAGGATGGAGTCGTAAAATATTTGTTTGATTCCTGTATATGAGGATCAAGTGACTGATAAGAGAGAGAAATATTAAAAGCAAAAATGAAGTGGCTTTACGTTTAACCTACTGACTATACATAGTCTTCTCCTCCATCCATTCTTCAAAATCGAATCGGACTTACGCCAGCAAGGGGTATTGACATATTGACGCTGGTGATAACGTTTGTGGCCAGAGTCTGCGTAGTCAGAATTAGCTGGTGGAGCTGCAGTATTGATGTCCCACCTCTTCTTCTAAACTAAACACACTTTTGTCTCACCGATAAAATGAAAAAGACCCCTCAGGTGGGTAAAGTCCAGTGGTTTAAAGACTCGGATATACTTGCTTTAGAACCACACATACGCATGTTAATGAGCACATTCTTGCCCGTGTACAACGCGTGTTACTGGAGGATTCCTCTAGAGGGAGCACCACATAAAGATGACGTAAAACAGAAGTACAGATGATCTCATGTGTGGAAAGTTGAAGGACTCTTATGTAAGTGTTTAAGTTTCAACTCACCGTTCCTCCTCTACTCTGCTAACCCGGTGCACACAGCAGGAGCAGAGAGAATCACTCCCATGATTCCCCACCAGCCTTGACATTTGTTATTTTTGTGAATGAGAGCCCCCCTGGTGGTGGACTTTACGCACTGTGCGTTTAAGAGATCACAGCCCCCAGCTGCAAACTGCAACAGACATTAAAGGAGTTTTCACACGCTGCACTGTAATCTTTAACATGCTGGAGGGCTTCTAAAAACATAAAATATCAAATGTTTTCTCGCTCGGAGAGAAGCTTCAACATGTCTAGTAATCGTTTCCTTACGGAGACAGACAATGCACATTGTGGACTTGAATATGTTTTTCAGAGATTGTCATGTTTGAGATATTCTGTGGTTCTTAGAAGCATGCGTGGAAACATCTCTGGCTGATACCGAGCAGCAGGCTGTTGGTCTTTGCCTGGCTTCTTTTAAAAAAAGGAAAGCTGTGGGGTGCACCTTGTCTGAGACTCACTACCCTCCTCTTCCTCCCTCCTCGCCCCCTCCTTCCTCCCTCCTCCCTCCTTAACTGCATCTCAGTGCTGCAGCCTGTTCCTCACTGCCAGCAGTTCATCACATAGACAAACGCATGGGACTGTTTCTGTTTCAGTGACTCTAAAACTCAGTGGAGATGTGTGCGGACAACGTTCTGCAGACGCATGTGGGAAACTGATAAACGTACATATTAAAGATGAGACACTGCACCGCTTAGCATGTCTTTTTTTTATGTCTTAATAAAACCTTCATCCAGGTGCTTCTGCTTCCAACGAGAACGTCATGTTTACACTCTGGTTGTTTCCTGTCATGACTTGCTGCCTGATGCTCTACTTTTTAAAAACTTTATATGTTTTTTTTTTTTGTGCCGATTTCAAGTCAGAACAGAGAAAATGAAAAATTGTATAAAGCAAGAACATTTAAAGTAGAAGGTTCAGTTGTCTGAAATAGCCTTTTGTTTCTCAGTTTGTTTGTTTTTTTGTTTTGGGTAAAATCTGCTCAGAGTTTTAGCACTCCCTTTCTGACAACATGTAGCCGTCTTATTAATCCATCTAAAGATCTCTACAGAATCATTTTAAACTGTAGGCTGTAGCTGTTGATGTTGTCATTACATGTTGTCTCTCTGTTCTAAATGCTGTTCTCATTTCTTTGACCTGCAGGTAGATAAACTAGAAACCTCAGAGTCCCTAAGGAAAGAGGAGGAGCAGGCAACAGAGACGCAACCCATCGTCTACGGTAACAGCCCTCTCATTACACCCATGTTTGTTTGAAAACAGCTACACTCCACATCATGGCGCCACTCAGTCCAGAGATAAAGCAGGTCTCTCCCTGATGACAGAGCCTCACGCACAACTTTGAATATTGAGACATAAACACGTCTTCAAACGACTGAGGAGAACAGAGAAAGGAAAAAAAGCAGAAATCACTCTTAACAAAGAAATGAAGTAGAGGGAATCTCTTGTGCTTGGGCTACTCCACAAATGGAGGTGGGTGCTCTCAGAGAAGGACCTTAGACATCTTCTTCTGAGTCTTCCTGGTGCAGATTTGAGACAGCTAAATACACGCCTACTTATAACGAGTCATCACTCATTGGTTAATGAAAGTGTGAGGTAAGCAGGGAGTTAACCGGAACTGTGACAGCACTTGAAAATAGTCAGTAGTTTAATGCAGGATCATGTCCCTCACAGTCAGGAGTCCATTGAGACGTTTTTGGAGTTTCTTTTGAGACAGTCTGAAAGCACCATGGCAACAGCAGGCAGTGTGAGAGCGTTTTTGACAGAGTTGGTATTTGACCTGTGCATCCAAGAACTAAAATACACAAATATGTGACTTTGTCTATCTGTGGGAGTTCTCAAAGGAAACAATTAGATTCTGACAATCAGCAAAGCTCCGTCCTGAGTGAAAATAATTATTTATTTATGGAGCTACAACACGAGCTAAACATGCAAATGTGGAAGCACTGTGGCCAAATCAATCGTGTTAATTATTAGAACTTTGCTTCAAATTAGAGACCACTAACATCCTCTCCTGTGCGTTTGTGTTTCTTGCAGGCACACCCCAGCTGATGCTGACAGCGGGCCCCAGCGTACCCGTGGCCCCTCAGCAAGCTTACGGCTATGGCTACCAGGCGCCTGCAGGATTCAGTCAGCCAGCACCTCAGCCAGGATTTGGCTACGGCATGTAAAGACCCCCAGTCCCCCTCTCTTTTCTCTGCTACACGCAGGCTGGAGCTACCATCCATCCATCTCCCACAGTCCTTCACCAGACCATTATTATTATTATTATTATTATTGTCGCTCTCTGCCCCCTACTGGCAGCGCAGGATAATACAGACAAACCTTTTCCTTCTTTTTTTTTTTTTTTTTGTTTTTACTCTTTTGAAACTGTCATGAAGGACTCTTGTTTTATTTCTGTTGTCAAAGAAAAAGCATCACAAAGATTAATTTTCTCACATTCCATATTGACTAGATTAATTCTTCTTTTTGTCTATTTTATTTGAATGGGAAATGGTTTATGTATAATGGGGTGGGGGGGGGGGGGGGGGGCTTTTTGTGGGAAGAGCTAGTCCTCTTCCTGGTTTAAGAAAAAAAAAGAAAAAACAAGGTCTGTTGTGAAGCATCTGATTTGCACTCTGTAGTGAGAAGAATTAATGTAGAACCTTTTTTTTTTTTTTTCCTTTTTGACGTGTGTGAGCAGCTTCTTCTGTCCGACTGTAAAATGCATTTAATTATTGTATATTCAGACACAAAAAAATAATGCTAATATGTTCCTCTATATTTGAACATGAGACTGCCGCTTCCATGACCACCATCCTGAAACACTACGTCGTACCTGTCATGTCCCCACACACACACACACACAGACGCGCACTTCAGGACTGTCTAGTGATGAGTGAGAGTATTTTACATACGATTTACAGGAAAGCTTCCATCTTTCCAGCAAAACCTATGCAGGACTCTCCCAAAAAAATATCCCCACAACATTTCCATGTGCTCTAAATACGGCTCTTACGTGGGACCATTTCACCTCAGGGGGACTGCAGATCTGTTTGTGTTTGATTAACATCCCCCCCCCTCCCCCCTGATCCTCCTTTATGCTGCGGTTTGTTTCTGCTGTTTGGTCACTGTTGTTAAGTGTGCAGGAGATATATTTTTCAAACGTTATCCTCCTCCTTCGTGTCTTGTTGAGGGATGTCTTTTAACCTTTTCTCAGTTGACCCCCCTCCCCGCTCATCCGCTTCAGATACACAGGACTCGTGGTAATTTTGAAGATTTTATCAAAGGCTTGCGTGTATACCGGAATTCAATCATTAACTCCTTTGAACTTATATTCTTATCTAAAATTACCTTAGATTTAAATTGTGCACTTAAGAAACTTGATTGTGCATAGTCAGGATCATAATGAATGAAACAGCGGTTTTTGTTTTCCACTTAAAAAAAATAAAGGCTTCTTGTTTGTCAACAACAGTCTGATTTGTGTGGTGAATATATAAATGTGTGCTCCTGTGCAGAAACACAATGTAACAGAATTTATGACTAGGCTTCACCTTCAGCTGTAAGAAAGCGACCTGATGTGATTATTGTGAAAGGTGGCAGATGATAGGCCGAATGACTGTACTGTGTTTATGACATCATGACATTCGAGTAAAATGTGGTAACACTCCTTTAAAAAAATGACCGAACGTGTTCATTTGTTTGTCTAAGTTTGAAGTCTGGGGCGCTGGTGGTTGGTGGGTGGCCTGGGTTTGAGTCCGACCTGGGGCTGCTTTCACGTTCTCTTCTGGTGGATCCAAGTTTCCGAGTTGGGAAGTCATTCTTCCGACTTGAGTGTGGTCAGTGAGAAGTTATTGTTTAAAGTTATATTTGAGCAAAAAGCTTATGTGCAATATGTAAATTATTAAAAAGTATGTTAGGGTAAAAATACAAATGTATATTCTTTCCCGAGTTTGAGTTGTTACTCCAACTTGAGCAGGTGTTCATGTGCATTTTACAACTCAAACTAATTTTTCCGATGTGTCCAACACCACATAAATGCAGCGCACATTTCCAACTCTATCCACCGTCCTGTCCCTCCAGTAAAAGGCTCCAAAGATCCCCAAAAATGAATCAAAAAACAAAAATATTTGAACTGGAAGTCTGAGCCGAAGCAACTGCACCAAAACAGGAACTACACATTTGAATTGTTCAGGCTTCAGTTGGAGACAGTGGGTATATTTAAATGTTCATACTTCTTAAACTTTTTGTGTGCCAAAAAAGTCTTTCTGCATCCATGTGCCGAAGTGCATGAAGAGTGAAAAGGCTTCAGCAACTCTTGAGTAGTAAGTTTGATTTTATTGACTTTATGCATTCATGTGCACCAAAGAAAGTCCAGTCGGCTGAGTAGAAGAGTCAGAACATAAATGAAGATGTGTTGAACTTTCCTGCCCAGAACAGAGTTGGACAGCAGAAACAGTCACCTCATTAGAAGGAAAAGATATTGACATAAATATTTTTTTTCCAGCAACAACGATGAGCAAAAAAATAACTGAATAAACATTTATTTAATATTCTAGCTGCTGGTATCGTTGTAGCTCATACAGAGGAACTATTAATGACAAACAAGGACAGTTCGTCCCAAACTTCTCGTTGCAGGTTTAACAGATTTAAACCGTTGTTAAAGCCGACGTCAAATGTCCACTGTGGAAAAACGTCTCATTTATGGAACTGTGCTGTGAGATCTCTAAAGTACCACAAAAACCATTTCGGCTTCCTCTGAGCATCATGTGATGACACACTGCTCTGAGCACTCAAACTGTATTGGTGGTGTTTTTTTGCACCGATCTACCAAAGCGTAATGATAATCACTCGTCTGTTGTTACTTCTATTCAAGGGTCGAATTCAGATGACTGTAGTGAGAGGCACGAGAGCCAAAGACTGCACTCATAAGTTTCTAAGATGTCATTGAGGCAATTGTACAAAAATATAAACTCCTGGTATCTCATATTTAATTAAACTGTGGTAAGGTTTTTGACAAATAAGAGCGCACTCACACTAGGCCGAGTTACCCCCCATACCGTGCAGAAGAACAATTGTCCCCACCCCCTCCCCTGTCTCTCGCTGGCCTGCACTCACAAAGCTCCAGGACCCAAGCATGCCTGAGGGTGGTTACCTCTTGTACGACACACTCGGGGCTATGCGTGATCATGACACATCCTTTAGTTTAGGAGGAGCGCGGTCTCAGAGGCAACACAACGGAGCACACAGAAACACGACTGCAGCTTTACTGACTTTTTTTGGATTTATTTTGAGTCGTTTTGGGTCAGATATGGCGCTTAAAATATACAAGGCGGCGATCGATAGCTTGTCATGTCCAGGTTGTGTACCTGTGCTGTGCAGAGACCCACCTCTTTCAACCGAGCCAGGACCAATGAAGTATATGGAGCACTCAGTCAAACAAACTGGACTTTGGGGGTCAAACGTTCTTAGACGCGGTACGGATTGCCTTGTGTGAGTGTGCCCTAAGAAACTGCAAGTCCTTCAGAAGACGGCAGGATCTCTAGTAGAGCTTCAGGCCTCCTGTGACTTTGTCGATCAGATCAGCAGGACCTGGTCCGATACCCAGCACTGTGCGTGATCCCGGTGCGATCTGTGTCCTCCCTGCGTCCTGAATCAGGCTGACAGGAAGCCCCACTTCTTTGGCGTGACCAAGCAGATCAATCAGAGTGTCCTCATCCGGGGCTTTCACCACCACCTTGGGCTGGCCGCAGTACTCCCACTGTTTGAGCAGCTCGGGGTTCCTCCGCTGGACCTGTTTGTACGCTGATACAGCGGCGTGGGAGCACTGGGCAGCCACCTTGCCTTTCCCCATCTTCAGGTCATTTCGGACCACGAGGATCATCTTGAACTCGCCTCCTTCTCCCATCACGCTTGCTTCCCCTGTGCCGTTTCCCACGGCTGCAATCAGGCTTTTGGATGCCGGGCCAAAGTGAGAACGAAGGCGCCAGCCGAGGAAGAGGCCACAGCCCAGTCCTGCTACTACACCCAAACCCAGAGGACCGCACAGCAAATCCATGTTGTTAAACCTACAGAGATGACAGAACAGAGTCACATTTAAACTTACAAGGCAGAAATCTGACGACAGCGTCGAATTATTTAACCTCCGTTTGACCTTCAAAGACGTCACGTTTCATACTATCGATGGAGATGCGCACACATGCACTACAAATATGGAGTTTTTCTTTATAATGCAATCAAGCAAAATGCAAAATCTTTATGTTTTGCAAAAAATAATATGGGATTGTCGGAAAGTTGAATAGTTGGTTGAAAAGTTATAAGAGCAAAAAAGATCTGCACACCAAGGAAGTCCCGTTAAAAGGATTCATCAACAAGTGATGTTTTGAGCCAACACTCACTCGACTTACTGTACCTTCAAAGTCTCAGAAAAGGGATGTGCGTGTCTTTTTTTTATTTTGAATAGCTTTGATGCCACTTCAGAAGATTTACTTCCTGTTGCTCTCTGACGTTTTTTTCCCTGCGTCTTTATTTATGCAATCAAACAAAAACTGAAAGCAAAACTTTCAACTTTACTTTTGTTGTTATGTGCAAACCAGACTTGTGTAAGATAAACATGACATTATTTTTACTGGCAATAAAAACATTTGATATGAAGTTTTAAAACATATGTAGTAACTGAGCTTTTAATATTGACAAAACAGACACCACAAACATCCCACGGATTGATATTTATGGAATATACATGATTTTTGATCAGTGTGTAGGAGTTTTTATTGTGCAAATATTAAGACAAATGCACTGAAATATTTTGCACTCATGCACCAAAACATGAGCAATTCACCTGAATGAATGAATCTGACTTTATATAACTCTCATTTGAGGTTTGAGCCAAAGTAAACTGACCTAGACCTAAAAAAAATGTAAAAACAAATTTACATTGATTTATTCTGCAGTACTCACTTCCTCTTCCTGTTGAACGCCAGCCATTATTCAAACAGCATTTATCTATTAAAGTCTTATTTTATGTAGTAATATATAACACGTGTGTGCCCTAAATGCATCAAACTAACTTTATTATGTGGAACAAGCCGAGCTAACGTTAGCTTCCTGTAAAGAGCGGCTAACTCTCCAAAAGCTCATTATTATGCACAAGTTTATTCAGTAATAAACTTGTTTTAAAACACAACAGACTCATTTTTAAACATGTCATGGCCCCGTCGTTTCCACACGGTGCAGCTAAAGTTAAACAGTTAATCACATTGGTCTCTTTTATTTCATACCTGCCGGTTTGTTGGGTGCTCAAGCAGCATGAATGAAGCTTCATCTACTTCTTCTTCTATGGTTTTATTGGTGGTTGGCAAACCGGCTTAAATGTGCACTACCGCCACCTACCGGACTGGAGTGTGGGCAGACGAAAGTAAAATAAAAAATAATTCCTGTTTTCTTCAAAAATGTTGAAGAAAACAGCCAGGGACATGAGGAATAGGAATCCATCGAAAGTTTATTGTCACCGATCAGATTTTTCAAAATAAAATATTAAATATGACTAAAATATCAAACTGTCTCTATGCAATTTGAGCAGACTTTACCTTTAATTATCTCATAAACTATACAGTAAAATCTGCAGAAGGCAGAATGTAGTATGTAGTTTTTGGACACAGCCCATGAAGTTAGCTTTTGATGGCCATTTCAGTTTGACAGCATCATATGAATCCCTAACAAATAAACCATAAATTGATCATGAATAATATTTATATGCGACCATAACTATCCATAAGCAGCAGTGTGATTAAAATGACACTACAGGTCAAACATACTGAGGGGGAAAAAACAATGGTAGGGGTAGTGTTTCTACATGCAGACAAAGAATGAGGCAAAATGTTTAAAGATATTAGTTTTTATTTAAGGAATACTTACAGTATGTTAAAAAATATATGGTATAAAAAATATATATATTTTAAAAATTAAACTAAAAATATTAAAAATATTCTGTAAACTATATCTACTACATAAAATATAAACATTTACAATACTGTTCTAAAATACAAAATATACTGTGCTAAAATAATAAATATAATGTTCTAAAATAATAAATATACTGTGCTAAAATAATAAATATAATGTTCTAAAATAAGAAATATACTGTGCTAAAATAATAAATATACTGTGCTAAAATAAGAAATATAATGTTCTAAAATAATAAATATAATGTTCTAAAATAATAAATATACTGTGCTAAAATAATAAATGTTGGCTTATTTCATAAGCTTATTGTCGACATTCACTTTTTGTAAATTTCGTCTGAGCTAAGTCTCATTTTAAAGGCTTTACTCTCTACATTTTATGAGATTTTTTGGGGTCAATTTGGTCTAATTTAAAAGGAATAGTTCTCTTCATCATGTTTTTGTTCTTCATTTGGTCTGATCTTAGTCTCTTTTGCTAGGATTCACTCTCTAAATGATGCTCTTTTTGGTTAATTTGTTCTAATTATGTCTCTTTTTAAAGGCTAAATTCTCTACCTTTTAGTAAATCTTCATCTAATTTCTCATTTTATGGGCTAAATTGTCCGTGTAATGGGGTCGTGTAACAGTTAAAAAGTAGAGTGGTGTGTGTGATCGAGCCGGATGTAGGTATCCAGCAGGTCGTAAACCACGTTCCACAGGTTGCAGTCAGGATCTGGACAATTACAAACGGGTACCATGGAGGCCATGATGCCGACAGTGAGGAAGACACACTGAGAGACGGCTCCTGCGACTAAAACTCCTCTCCACATCCACTTAGCAACACACCATCTAAACACACAAACATGAAACACAAATAAATAAAGGAAGACAGAACGTGTTTGTTTTGTGTTTTTAGAGTGCGCTTTGAGACAGACGAGTACCTTCTGGTCTTCAGGAGTTTCTCGTCTTGCCCTTCATCCTCGTCCTGCAAAGAACAGAGAAAGCTTAAGTTTTGTGTCTTAAAGGGAGGGTAAGGCAATCATTTAATTCCTGCTGACAGTTGGATTAAAAGTGTAAAGGGGACATATTATCCCCCTTCTCCACCTTTTCAAACAGTCCCCTGTGGTCTAAATGAAACATCTGTGCTGTGCTTTGGTCAAAATATAACATGAATCAAGCACCAGAGGAGGTTTGTGACCCTGTAGAAACCAGCTCTCTCAGAACGCTCCGTTCTGGTGTGTCTGTCTCTTTAAATGCAATGAGCCCCCCCCTCTGTAACAAGAATAAAAATGGCGGATCTATGCTAAGGTTTTGGTCTAGGCTGGGGGTGTAGTCCATGGGTGGAGATACCAGGGGAGAGGAGGGGATTTTTTAATACCAGAATGCCACTGTGACATCACAAGGAGAGCACATTTGAAACAGAGCATTTTTCTCTGTGTTATAAGACTTATGCAGACCACAGACATGTTTTGTGGGTCAGTAGACACTCAGGTTACCCAAATATTTGTTCAAAAACACTACAACACTGTAGAAGTGGATTCCTCATAATATGTCCCCTTTAATACTCTCAGCTGTCAGGGAGGATTCAAATATCACATTATAATGTTGATGTTGATGTGTTCATTCATAACTTTTTGTTAGAGTGACGAATTAGGAGAGAGTCCCTAGACACGGGATGTTTTCAAAACCGTCTACTATACTAGTGGTACGTACTGATATATGCAGTATATGAATAAATGCGAGATCCACAGTATGCCAAAATGGATGTTGTAAATGTACAATATGCTTCAGACTAGGCCCTATAGCACAGTAATGAAAATAAAATAAACAACAGGCTACTGCTGTTTAGGCATTATATTCACCATTGTACCAGCTCCAGCTTGCTTCCTTGTTATTTCACTTGTTAACGCTCTATAAAACAAAATGACAGAAAAGTGAGAGAACAGACCTCTGCTCACTGTTGCTAAACTACCAGCTGGTAAAAAACAACATACTCAGACTGAATCACTTCTTATATGTGCTAAAGTTAGTCAGACTGTTCTACCAGCTTAACCAGTAAAATATATAATGTTATTAATAATGTTATTCTCACATGATCTGCTCCTCTTGTCTGCTGCTAAGCTGCTCTCGAAGTTCTCGTTGATCCTTGTTGAGGTCCTGCACAGAGAGATGAAATGTCACAAAGGTACTCTTCTTCACATTCATTGGGCGTCCATCTTGGGTTGGAGGCATTACATCATCTGTGTTTCAGGTTTGCAGAATAATTGAAGGAGAATCTGGCAACAGTTATCACTTCACTGCGTCTTTGTTTACCAGAAGCAGCAAGACAAATGATAATTCAAATGTGGGGAGAGATATCGTACAGTATTTAAAGGCACAGTGACATATTTGAGAGTGACAGCGAGATCGAAAACTACCATGTGGCATGCCACTTGGAAAGCACCGGCCTGCCTGTATTTTTGGTGGCATGCCAGGTTTAAAGTGACATGTTCACTTAGTTTTGCAACATGGCATGAATAAGTCTTTCCTATTGCTGGTGAAAAAAGAAGCAGTAAAATTATTTGTTAGTGCACAGTAGCCGTGAGCACCGACATGCCGGTGTTGTTGGTGGCATGTCAGTTTTACAGATTAGTTTTGTGACATAGCATGAGTAAGTCTTTGTCTTTCCTGTTGCTAGAAAATAAGGAAGAAGTGAATATATATATATATATTTCTAAGCTAGCAGGCTGAAGTGGTGAAATGCTAACATTAGCAGTTGGCGTACAGTAGCTCATGACTCATCAAATATCATCCGCGTCCGACTGAAAACTGCCGATGTGGCAAGCCACTTCGAGAAGAACCGTCATGTGAGTGTCATTCAGGGCATGCCATTTTTTACAACGATATGTGCGCTTAGTTTGGCACCATAAGTTCAGCGGTATCTGTCGGGCTGATGGCGTGCCAGCAGGGGGCGAGCGCCATAAACCACTCGTCTCTCACACCAGTACCGACAATCTTTCCACCGGGGACTAATTAAGTATTTCTTTGTATGTGAATTAAAATGAGTGGTCTTGCTTTGCGACTAAAACCCATACCTTTACGGTGTTGTAATACTCCTCCAACTCGTTGTTTTTTTCAGTCAATGTCGTGTTTAACTGCCAGAAACAAAAACACTCAGATTAAGTGACAGTTTCACCGACTCATTAACAACTCTGACGTGATAAATGGAGACATTTTGTTAGATTTTTACTTGGATTTCCTGTCGTTTTGTCATACCTTATCTATTTCCTCATCCCTTCTACAGAGGACTTCATGTATGTCGTCCAGTTTTTGCTGCAAAATAACCAAAAAGTAAACCATCAATTTTGACGATACAACTCACGTGGAGGATATTGCTGTTTGGAAAGGTATTTGGGAGCAAAGCTTTACCTTAAATTCCTGCTCAGTTTTTTTAATGTTGTATATTTCTTTCCCATGTTTAGCTTGCTGAGAGAGTTTGTGTAACTGAAAGAGAAACAGCTCATGGTGAGAGTGGGATCCAGCAGAAGAAATGATCACATGCAGTGCTAAAATCTTCTAAATATGGCGTTAGAGTTAGAGGTCATACCTTAGTTTTTAAAGCTTCGTTTTTCTCTCTCAGCTCCTGAATATTCTTTTCCTGCAAAAAACAAAGAAACGACATTAGGGCAATAAATCCTCAGTAGTTCCAGTTCTGGCTTCTAGTTGGTCTTAGATTTAAGCCATCCGCACAGCAGGTCACAACCTTTTTCATTAAACTCTGGTTTTCATTTTAAGGTCACATATTCTCCTCCTCTTCAACCAGTTTAAATAAGTCTCAGAGCTCCTCAAAACATGTCTGTGAAGTTTCTTGTTCTAAATCCACTCTGATCATGTATTTGATCATGTCTATAAACCCCTCTATTTCAGCCCTGCTCAGAACAGGCTGTTTCTGTGTCTGTACCTTTAAATATGTAAATGAGCTGTGTCTAACCACGCCCCCTCTCTGGAAGGGCTTGGGTGTCTCGGGCTTTTTCGCTCCATGGCAGACTCAGAGGGCAGAACAAACACCTAGCTGTGGGAGTGTCACCCACCTGGAGGAGGAGTTACTGCCCTTTGTGATGTCATGAAGTGAAAATCTACAAACAACCTGTTTGAGCACACATTTTCTGAAAAGTGGAGAAGGCAAAAAACGGAGAGGATGGACTTTTCTCATCATTGGGGTTTTTTTAGATGGACTAGAGACACATATTAGTGTTAGAAAAACATTAGGGAAGAGTATTTTGCTAAATATGTGACCTTTAAAATTTGGTAAATCTATCATAATGTACAAACCATGTGCACCTACCATCATCTTTATGGAAATCAATTGACTTCTAATCCTTTCCTCCACTGACAGACGCTCCTTGGCTCCTTCTTCTTCGTCTTCTTTTACCTCCTCCTCGCTCCATTTTTTTCTAATATCTTCCAATTCCTGCTGGCTCCTGAATAAAAAGAAGACACCAGAGTTATTTTAAGCAAAGTTATTTTATCAGTAAAATTACTAATGTGTAAATATTGGTTCTAAGTTGTTTGGTTTGAGATTCGTCAGGATTAAATCAAGCTGATTAAACTCAGGGTAGATGTCTATGTCAAGGCAAAAATTGAAGCCATATTAGACGAGTGTCGTACGTTTTCAGTTTGCATGTGAGAGACTTTTTCTCAGCTTCCATCTCGTTGATCAGTTCCTCGATTAGAAGTCCATGCTCATGCAGATGGGCATGGCGCTCCTTCAGCTCTCTGCAGACGTCTTCAGCCTGCCTCAGTCGCCTTCCGAGCTCTTCTTTTTCATCCTCACTGCAGACACACCACAACGTAACAATTTCATTTTGACATGAATTTTATTTGAAACAAATCAACACAAGACAGGCGACACTTCAAAAAGACTCCAAACATGTCAATTAATAAAATGACATGCTAAAGGAAATGCATTAGCCCTGAGTAATAACAGGCATTTAATAGACACATGACAAATGCTGCATTAAAGAGTGAGTCAGGGGGAGGCCCCATGTACAAAGGTTATAGTCCTCCAAACATGTGGCCTATGTTTGAATCCGACCTGTGGCTCCTTTCCCACATGTCATTCCCCACTATCTCTCTCTCTCTCTCTCCCCCCTATTTCTGACTATATCCACTGTCCTGTCTCTAAAAAGTTAAGGCATGAAAAACCCCAGGGCTGATCATTTACACGTAAAACCATTGACAGCCCAACATGGCTCACTGCAGCCTTTCAATCACAGGAGACGCTATACTTTTAAGAGCAAAATGTGATCATAAAGCCGGCCATATCTTTAAACTTAAACTCTGGTCGATCTCATGTAACACTTCATTTGAAGGGGTATGCATGAGACTGACATGACACCTGTCATGTTTATGATTTGGTCCATTATGTCACCTTTAATGCAAAGTTCACATTGTTTAAATTATGACAACTTGTACAGAGGTTATTAGTCCTCAAAGCGGGAAGCCAGTGTTCAAATCTGACCCCTGGCCTCTTTCCAACACATCATTCCCTACTCTCTCTCTCTCTCTCTCTCTCTCTCCCCCTGATTTCCAGCTCTATCTACTGTCCTGTATCTACAATAATGCAAATATATCTCGCAATGAAACTGAGAACAAAGGCTTTTTCCACAGCATCCACTTAATCACCTCGTCTTGCCTTGTGGCAGCTGAGACAGACGTTTGAAATGACTGTAACCACTGATGGTTTTGTTTGCTTTTGTTGTGCATTAAGAGACATCAGTCATAATTTCAGCTTCTTTCATAACCACTTAAAAGCTCTTCACATCAGGTTAACCATCATCCTTAATATCAAAAGGACCCACACAAACATAACTATAAACAAATACATGTAAATATCTCAAAACCCTAAAAGTCTCCCAACATATGAGAAAGTATGAGTTTAGGATTTATCATTAAAGTGAGTAGATTTATAGATGTTTGGAGAAAAGGATTCTTGAATCAGCTGTTTTTACATCTGCTGGCTCTGTCACTTGAACCTGAATTTCTAAATGTCCAAACCATATCAGGGATAAAATGCACTCAGCATACACACCTGATATGCTGTTTGTCTTTGTTGATCTCCATCACTTCAAGGATTTCCTCCAATTCTAAAGAGTGTGTTCCCTACCTGTCGGCTGCTTCACCACAATAACCTCTGAGACACTGACTGTCCTCTGTATGTCCAAAAATAAACACATTTCACCTTCACCTTCTGAACTCACAATGGTTAGTGTGCATTCTAGAACAGAGAGCAGTGGAACACACACACACACACACACACACACACACACACACACACACACACACACACACACACACACACACACACACACACACACACACACACACACACACACACACACACACACACACACACACACACTCACACAGAGGGCCTATAATACATTGCAATGATTTTTTATGTAGGAGCTTTTACATTTCTTGCTGAGGATCATGAGGACACCACACCAGGAAAAAGTGACAAAAAGATGTATATGTATATGCTTGTATATGCTCATGATATACTCTATCGTTCTTTGAAACAATGAGGACCTCATGATGCTGTTGTTAATAACACAGCTACAGAACGATTACAAATCAAATAAATGATACGTCATTGGAAACATTTTCTTTCACTTTATAAACAGTCTGTTTTTGAGCTATGAATTGTGTCCGTGGGCTTCTGTTTCCTTATCCAGTGCTGAGCAGTAATTTAAGGTGCACGATTTATCTGAAGTAATGATGTCTTCACAAAACTGTGAGCATGTCCATTTATTACATTTATTCAGTTAATTTGAGGTGCAACACTGGAACCCCTCTTTGGAAAACTTAACCTCAACTTGTAGGCCAACACTGCCCTCTGTTGGGCACATAAGAGATCATCTCAAAACTCAAAATCCAAAAGTACTGAAGAGATGTTCACATTTTTTCATCAAACGTTTTGGAAGCAGAAAAAAGTTATTGTCGTTGTTTCTGTCACGATGGTGCACGTAAACATTCATCTTAGGCCACATTTATTCGTTTTTTAAGTGGGCTATATTATTGTGGACAGAGGAAGACAGGCTGGGGTGACATTTCTGCACAAGGGGTGACAGACAGACAGAAAACAGAGATTCATTGAGAGAGGCATTGGCTAACGCCCTCAGTAGCCTGTGTTCAATATATTTGAATAAGTCTACCATTTATTCATCCATATATATATAAACACTTCAGGAAACCCCATTTGAATTCCCTGCAACCCTATGTGGTCAGGGCCCCGGGACTGCAGATAGCATTGCACTACATGTGCAGTCCTTGCAAAAACGACACAACTCGGGTACTCCTGATTGTTCCAAAAAAGAAGTCAAACGGTAAGAAGGGAAGTCACTTCTCCAAAATGTCCACCAATGATATCATTAACATTTTCCTTCATCACAGTGCAAAAGTTTAATTAGCGCACCGTTACATTGTTGTCACACACAGTAGCTTTCATTCTGTTCAAACCAGACAGAGAGTCAGACAGGAAGCTGCAGAGGAAAAATAGAGGAGAGAGAAACACTTCCAGGTGAGAGAGACAAACAGGTGATGAGAGGTAAACAGACATCACACTGCATCATCTATGGGCTATCTGAAAATGTGTGTAGTAATATAACAATAAGCTAATGTTTGCAGGAATTCACTTAGCTTATTCTCCTACCCTCGTTGAAGGTGTGCATCAATTGTGAGGAACACATCTGACGTTTTTGTCAGTGATGAAGACGTTTTGAATGTAAGGTGCCCAAAGTGCAGCAAACGGAAGGGCCTCACATGTGTCCTTGCCTGGGGCCTCCAATTCACTAAAACCGCCATAAACACATAAGGACATCCTGTTTTTCAGGTCATCTTTTTCAATTTGGGAATTAGCTGAGCTCTCTTTGCCCACATGCCATTCACTGACAGTGTGTGAAACCTACAGAGGACTGAGAAGTGTTAGAAGTGCGCTCCAGGAAAGTGATCCACTTATTTATAGACCTTTAATTAGACTGGCTCTCTGGAGGTTCTACTAGGCAAGTGATGAAATCCCCCCTGCTCTCTGTGTGTCTTTCTCTTCTGTCAGCCAGCCTCTGCTCGAGCTCCCCCTCCCCCGGCATCCTGTATCAGTACTCTATCCCTCCCTGGCCCCCTCCATCACCACACCCTGCGCTCAACTTATGATGCACTTCATGGGTAGCCTACTTTTGCCCTACATTGCTACTGGGGCTCCACTGCAGGGTTTACTTCAGCACAGAGTTAATATTGGACTAAACTGCTGCTGAACGGTAAGCCTACCTTCTTTGCTTGATGCGAATGACAGGCTGTTTATTAGCGCCACTTCCTTTTCAAACTTTTTTGTAAACTCTCGTCTGTCCATGCAGTGCAGGAAACAAGTGGTTTTCCACTGTTTTGAAATGTGATTCCCTGATTGCTACTTATCAAATATCTCCTGAAGTGCATGTGTCTCTGTTTTCAGTTTAGTCTCTCTCTCAAGAATTTACTCAACAGGTCCGGGTTGTTTTGGTGGTACAGGCGATTGCGCAATCGAGCTCTAGAGCAGCGCTACTGTGCTTTGCAGGGAGGAAGCAGTGTTGTTATGAAACGATTTACTATGTACAATTACTTGGAAATGCATAGAAATGTAATGCATATCAACCTTACATCTATTCAGAATGAAGGCATGACATGGTGTATACCTGCAGTAGAGGTGCACGCTTAGTTCAAAGTGACATGTTTGATTTCTGTATTAAGAGTTGATGCTTACTGCAGGATGACACAGGTGGTTGACACACTTTATTGAGACCCTGTGTATACTTCTCCTCGGTGCAAGAGCAGAAATGATGGGGTGCATTAAATACTATTTTGCATCCTCATCTCAGTGCTTTTAGGCTGAGTGTGTGTGTGTTTGTGTTCAAGGTTTAGAGTTTGAGATGAAAATCTTTTGTTTGTGGTTCCCTGAGAGGGCTGAGAGGAGCTCTCCACATGCCTCACAGTCTCATCGTCTGAGAAGATTTCTATTTTCCTTTTTTGTGACACTTCACTTGTTGTAAAGTACGCACAACGTCTTTGTTCACGGCTCATTGTCTGTGTGTGTGTGTGTGTGTGTGCGTGTGTGTGTGTGTGTGTGTGTGTGTGTGTGTGTGTGCGCGTGTGTGTGTGTGTGTGCGTGTGCGTATGTGTGTGTGTGCGTGTGCGTGTGTATGTTTGTCCTTCAAGTTGAGTTGCCGACAAACTTAAATAGCTATTGCACATGGGTTTAAAGTCGTTTTTATTACTCTTTATTTTATCACCCATAGTTTGTCTCTTGATCTTTGCTTGGCATGAAAAACATTTTTTTATTCTCTGTTAACCACATTTCCTTTTGCCTACATCTGTAAAGTACTTTGGTCATCTTATATTTTAATCTGCTATAGAAAAGAGAAAACACTCTTAACACTCAACAACCAAACACACAGATCCTATCCAGTGGGATTCAAGTTGTTATTGCGTCTTGATGACATCAGTTTGAAATTATTATGAGAAATGTCTCTGCCCATACAATCAAGGCAATCATTATTTCCAGCTAATAGAAAAAAACAAACTCACATAACCCTCTTCTCGTTTTCATTCCAAGAACAATAAATTGCTGTTACCACATGTAATTAAAATAGTCTGTTTTAAAGGTTGTTTTAACTCCATCCCTGACCTGCATGAGGAGCGTGTCATGAACTGAACATGTCTGTCAAGCATTTTGATGAGCTCATATCGTTTTAAAGACATCCATTTCTCTTGATCTGACTCTATCAATCACATTCCTGCAGCTTCTGAAGAGGCACCGCAGTCTGATGTAACACCAGCATAACGACTGTGGCAAGTGTGAATGCATGGAAACAGGAGCCAGAGGCCCAGACATCGGGCACACAGGATAGAGGCATTAAGAGAGAGAGAGAGAGAGTGTGTGTGTGTGAGGCACACTGACAATTCCACCAGATGGTAAACTGCATACCTCCGTGTCAGAGTCCCCATCTCACTGCTGCCTGACAGATTCCTGAGAGACTTGAAGCTCTGTAGTGAGACACTCTGTGCCTGCGCTGTCTGTAAGCATGTGTGTGGATCAAAAAGCCTAAATCTTGTCCCTGATCGTTCACCCACATATTACTGTTCCACGATTGGCAGGAGGGGTGTACTTAGTGTACACACAGAGAGTGCTCTTGGTGTCGACATTAATGCCAATTAAAGTGCTCATCGGGTCATGAACAGGCCTGATTAGGTTACCCGTAATCTGCAAGAGCAGGAAAACACCGTCTGCTCAGCTGCTGTGTGGGAGAGCACGCAGAGTTTGTAAAGCATTTGGGGACGCTGCTGTGTTTGTCGTTGCATGTGAGCGTATATTCGTTTTGGGTGTGAGATTTGGCAAATACAGGGTGTGATTCTGCCCTAAAAGCCCGTCGTTTGTCTCAGCAGGAGTCCTCATGGTGAACGAGATGGAAGAGCGCGGGGTCGAAGGAGAACTGCTTCTGAGGTGTGCTGGTGTCAAGGAACAAGACAACGGAGAGCTGGCAGGTAAAAGTACAAAACATCAAATATGAAGCCAGTCAGTAGGTCAAACTGATGCTTTAAGAAGCTTTTTAAATAGTGCCTCTGTGCTTCCTTTGAACATACATAAAGGTTTGTTGACTTTAATTTGTCTGTGATAAACTCCTGTTTTTATGGGGTTTTTTTCTCTGTGTTAAACTCATTTGAGTTTTTGGGGTCTGAATATATCAGCATCCAAATTATACCGTCATCTCAAGATGTACCGAAAATGAACAAATAAGCAAAACAGGTGCAAAGAAATATTTCCCGTCTGGTCCTGTTGAAGTTGGAGATTATGATATCAGAAGTTAGAGTAATGTTGTTCTTTCCTGTTCAAGATTTTCCTTGTTCATTTCCACATCTGCATTACACACAGCGACAATTCACACTATCCCTATGCTGTGACGCTTTAGACTCAGAGCTGTCCGTGATTGAGATGAAACAGAGGGACCGAGAAGAGCGAGAGTCTCTGGTGATGTGGAAGAATCCTCTGCTCACTCTTTATTACTTCACCCTGGAGCTGCTCATCACCCTTAAAGAGTGGATACAGAGGTGAGACCAACAGCCCTACATCTCGTTCCTTTATTTTTGTCCCTTCTTGTCTCCGGCTCCATCTGTTTTTTTGGGTTTTTTTGCCTGAGACTCAGTAAGCGCTCCCTTAAGGGATGTCTCGATGACTAAAATGCATCTTAAGGAGAAGTAATGTGAGTACAGGGAACCATGAGCGAGGATGAACAGGTGTATTCTTTTGTGTCTTTGTGTTCCTGCACCTGTGACTTGAATAACAGGTGTGACACCGGCCTGTAATATGCAAACCATTTGTATTTACAACATTATAAAGCACTTAGTTCTAACCATGTAATCTGATTTGACAAAAGGCATTTCCCAAGTGCTCATATGAGCCCTTTTCAGAGTGGGATTCTGCAACAGTGCCGTGACAAAGCTCCACCTTCATTACGTCTCAACACATTCATATTGGGGTCAAATTGATGTCCTAGTTTGAGAACTCACATGCTGATCCCGTCTCACTCCAGTAATGCCTCTGTTAGTACCTGGCGACACAGAGAGGGGATCACTTCACCCCCCTATTATGCCCCTGTGACATTCATAGTGAAGAGATGAATAACCAGGTTTATCCTGAATGTGATCAAAAGCAGGATAAGCCTCATAACTCAAGTCCATTGAGACACACTCAATAACACGCCACCAAAGCAACATTCAACACAATCTGTTTTCAGTGTCTCCATGATAAAAATATACATACAGATAATTATAAATAACAAAGTAACTGTTCTACTAAAACATGTTTTACTACACAAAGTAGAAAAAGTGAACTGAACATGTTTGGGCTGCTAGGAATATAGGTAGGTCCCAATCAAGTTGTGTGCAGCAAATGAATGATTCAATGAATGAAAAATGACATAGTGGGATACCATGAGAGCACTATATAGTGTATGATAACGCTCACTAACAATTCGGACACCATTACAAAATGGTGTATTCACTATAGTGCATTAATAGTGAGTAGTTTGTGATTTTGGACACAATCTGAAATTTCTAATTTAACCTGAAGCTTCATTAACACAAGTTCTTTGGCAACCTGTGATGGTGGCAGCAAAGACCAGACCTGTTTCTGGTGACATGATCTGAGAGAGCTGGTTTCTACAGGGTCACAAACCTCCTCTGGTGCTTGATTCATGTTATATTTTAACCAAAGCACAGCACAGATGTTTCATTTAGACCACAGGGGGCTGTTTGAAAAGGTGGAGAAGGGGTAGAATATGTCCTCTTTAATTTTGGTTACTGATATCTGTATCTTTACTAATTGTTTATACCAACATAGAACTTCAGCAGCTAAGCAGAGTTTTTTTGTGTTCTTAGTTTTATTTATAAATGTGCTAGTGCTGCATTTCAAAGTTAGACTAAAAGAGGACATGATGATAGTGAAAAATAACCCTAATACACTCTGCATGCTCTTTCCCCCACAGCCACTCAAAAGCACAACTACACATATGAAACCAGACAGGAGATGACCTTGGTCGTCTGTGTTATCAGCACAGACAGGCTCTCCCTCATAGTTTAGTCTGTAGTCATGGCCTGCAGGAACTAATAATGCAAAACAAAACAGACATTAAAACATCAGCCTATCTGTTTTTCTCTTAACCTTTCATTACTCTTCATTCTCTCGTAAGATTGAGCTGAAGTTGCCTCCTCAAGCACAAATCGCAACAACATCAGATGACACTATACGTCAAACTCCCCACCACCTGCAAAACAACACGTCTTTTACACACCTAATACTCTTTGTTGACATTCAGGGCCCAAAAGAAGGTCAGAGTGTACGCTCAGGGAGGCCGTTGTGGTTAAGTGTGTGAGGACAACGTGTTTATTTTCTAAACTACAAGAGGATGTGGTGAGCCGCAAGCACCACGAGCAGCGTTCTGACTGAGAGAGGCTGCTGCTCACCAACGCTGAAAAACACATGGTGCTATAACGGCTGCAGGGGAATACATGCAAAGATGTTACGACTTAGTCTACAAGTGCGCAGAGACGTTTATCCTGAATGTTGATAGAAGTGGGTGGTAATTTATTGCACATGTACAGGGAGTCCTCAGGGCAGCATGCTGCTCAGAGTTGTGGATCTGCGCTTGTTTGGCTTAAAATGTAAATGAGGATAGCGGTTGTGAATCAAAGGGATCATGTGATGTATTTATTTGATGAACTGGTGTAATTTTGAAGTGATTATGGTCTACTTATTTTAAATTCTGCATTTCATTAACACATACCAGTGACAGCAGTATAATTCAGTCATTGCTGCCCATTCAGTTATAAATTAGAAACATAAAAGACGAGTTAAAAGAGATGTCAATCCTAACTGAGAAACATGAGCACTAGGGCTGCCAACAAATCACAATGGCATTGTTATCGCAATATGAGCTTTTGCAATAAACACATCTCAAAAGTCAGAATTTATCGCAATAAAAAAACATTATTAAAATGAAAGAATATAATTATTTCTCACACAGTTTGTGCACATTGTCGGTTTGATGGAGGGCAACATGCTGATGCAGTCAGATAAAGCTACAGCTCTATCTGACTGCTCACGCTCCAGGGAGACATTTTTACCTTAAAATAAAGTTATTTCATCAGATTGTAAAGTCAGTGATACGCAGGGGCGTGTCCACAGGGGTGGCATGCATTTTCAATTGTGACTTTGACACAGTGGTGAAATTAGTAAGTGTAAATAAGTGATATTTTTTTGTGTATTTTTTGTGCGCTCATCACACTTCAGACAGCCCCTGCCTTAAGTCAATGCCCCAGTTTTTTGTGCTGATCGAAACATGAGCTAATCAGACCTATTTGGTTTTATGAAACAGGCTGTACATGTTAATTTATGCTGAAAAAAAAACAGGCTTTTTTTAAATGGGTGTGTACGTGACTTCCGGTGCTTCTGCAGCCAGCCTCGAGTGGACCCTCGACGAACTGCTTAAGGTTGCTGCCTGCTTAATCAAGTAGTCTTGCCTCCGGGCAAAACAAAAATTGGTAAAGTTATCTTTCGTCTCACCAGTTATACACAAACTATAACTGGAGAATTGTCTGAAAGAGGCAGTCTCTCTTGACCACTCGTTTCACCTGAGTCTACTGTTGCGTTCAGGTGCTCCTCGGTGGTCCAATTGTCCGAGTTGGCAAGTCGTTCTTCCGACTTCAGTGTGTTCAGATGTTCACGTGATTTCAGTTCGGAAAGTTCTATAAAGTTAAAACTTATATTTGATTGTTGATGTTACGTGAATTAATACAAATTATGTTAACATTAACAAAACATATTTGTGCCCCCCATTTGATGACGATTCTGACGTCAAGTCGGGAAGTGGGCACCGTCCGAGTTGTTGCTCCGACTTGAGCCAGCGTTACTCAGATATATGTCCGACACCACGTGAATGCACCATAAGTCCGCCTCACCTTTCACATACGCAGGTAAACCGTTAAACCCACCGCTAAGTTTATTATACTAATGGGACCGCAAAACAAACAAACATGTGTTAACAATTTAACAAACATGTGTCGGTCCGTCATGACTAAATTATTATTATCTGAACAGTCACGTGTCCATCACCGTGTTTAACTAACGTCTGAAGCAGCCGTTACTAGCTTAACGGCCACAGTTCAAACAAACAAGTTAATTTAAACTATTTACACTAAATAAGAGTTTCTCTATAAACTAAAATTAACTACTTTTATTCACATTATTTAACTCTTGTCGTGTTATCAGTACATAAACTAACTTGTTAGATAGTTTTCTCTGTAAGAATGTATTTTAATAAATTAGTCACTTTCTTCGTTTTTTAAATAAATACTTATTTAACATTATAATATATAATATAATATTATTTAATAATTCGCACGACTTTCAAATGTGGCGTTAAAAAGAAGCCTACAATATCTTTCATCTTAAATGTTAAACAATTAAATTATTTATTTATTGTTATTATTATATATAATAATAATAATATTATATTATTTATTTATTAATTGTAAAATATTGTATTGTAGTAGCAGAAAATGTAAACACACATGGTATACTATATGCTTACTTAAAAGTAAATTATTTCTCTCATAGCTAATACAATCCTAATAATAAAGAGTTAAATCTAATCTTGCGTCACTGTAAGGATAGATAAAATGACAGCAAAGGGTTACATATTTATGTACCCACATGACTATTATCCAATCGCTGAGTCTGTTGCTTAAGACTATTAAGGTAGCTGCTTGTATATTTCCAGCAGATGTCTCTCTTTCTCCCGAAGATGAAATGAAATATACCTCCTCTTGCAACCTTTCCTTTCACTCACACTGCTTTACCTATGAACTAACAATTCCTCATCTTTCATCACACTGTCATCTGCACGTCTTTCTCCCTGCCTTTACTAATATTCACCCCTGCTCTCGCACACTTGCATCGATCATTTTCCACCTTCATTCTCTTGTTCTCCTTCACCCAGGCTCTGGCAGCAAAGACAGACTGTGTTTGGCCTGCTGATCCTGCTTATCCTCCTCTCCATTGCCTACTGTATTGAAGGAACACACCAGAAGGTGACTGAACACCGTATTTATTTGAATTATTACCATTTTTTAGGTTTTGTGGAGGCCAACCACCCTAACAGTTTTTCAACCATGGCATAAATCCTAAATGGAATAATTTAGGGTGCAATTTTTGTTTTTACTTTTCTATAAAGGTTGCTGGCCTCTTGATTACAGAGAGCAGGTTACAATTTCTTACCATCTCACCACCTTGATGCTTACTAATGCACATACTTTGTATGGATATGGATAAGGAGTTTGGGCAGGTTTCATCCCTGGATCCTCTTGTCCCCAGGATGAAGTGACTTTAGCAAGACAGTCAACACCAGTACTTTATTCTATTAAGGTTGAAAGGAGCGATAAAGTCCAGGCCTATATATAAAGGCCCTGTAAGGGGCTGCTCAATAAATCATGCTTTCATTTCACCTGGATAAGATGATGCACAGTAGAAAGAAAACAATACCGAAATTTCCTTATATCAGAAAATAAGCATTTCATATACCGGTAATGTTGATTCAAGTATACTCAGTGTGTGAACATTTTACGTATAAGATCAAGCCCTGGATACAAATGAATCAGTATATTTCTACTATTTGGCCAATTAGCTGAATCCCTGGCTACGCATCAGCTAAACTAATGGTGTCAGTTCAGTGGCAACTGCAAGGTCAGCTTGCATGATGGCTGAGGAAGGAGAGAGAAGCAAGAGAAACGTACTCTGCAAATACCTTGTGGTAAAAAAAAAAAAGAACAGCATTTCTGGTTTTAGGAATAATTTCATATTCAGAAGATGTGCTACAAAATATTTACTCTGTTACACATGCCGAACAGCAGAACCATAGGAAGTTTAAGTTAAATATAATATGCACACTTCAGTATGTTTTTATCATGCATCTTATCTTCATTGCAACATTGTGCAACGTTCTAAAAAAACAGACCTGCCTCATATTGTGCAGGCCGAGTCACTTTTGAATCAGTACTGCAGGAACAGAACAGTGCCTATGAGAGGATACTTGTTTTAACATCATCTCAAACAAGTGTGTGCTCGTGTTAGTTTTTATGGCGACGTTCGTTTAATTATTAACTTCCCGCAAAGCTCACTTTGAGCTTCTAATCTCTTATTTCCACAGTGCAAACAACTGGAGCTGTCAATGCAAACTGTTCTATGGTCTGACGAGAGCGCTTCCCTTCCCCCCCCCCCTTTTTGTGTTCTTTTCCTGCTAGGAGCTGTACTACTTTAAAACCCACCTCCATAAAGGGTTTTTTTTTCTCGTAATGTTGACACTGGGGAGTTGTGTAATCAGTTCACAGTAACTTCACGTAACAATCGCCCATGGCTGGCACTGCGTTTCCCAGAATCCTGCCAGCAAAGAGAGAGGCAGTTTGTGGTGTTTTTTGTTTTGCTGGGTTTCCTGGGAAATGGAGTCTTTGGTCCCACACCTCCTTCCAATCATCAGTCCCCTCCCCTCTTCCGGTAATCTACACACTCCATGCTTCCTCCTGAAAACAACCTGCCCTGGCTGGAGGGAGGAGGTGTCAACAGAGAGGTGGATGAACAGGAGGAAGAGAAATAGAGATAAAGAGTTCTTGGCTTGCTTTACTTTACTAGTTGTGTAAGAGCTGGCTGCCACCAATAAGAATAATAGTTCTGTTGTTCTGTCAGTGTGCTGAACACTCCTACCCTACGGCTCTGTCCTCTAAACTCAACAACAGCCTCTGTCTCTCTCTAAAGGTCTCTCTCCCTCTCTTTCTCTACCACTCACTTGCCCTCTCTCACCCTTTTAAGTGCCCTCTGTTTTGCACACTTTCACTCTCATACCTTCTCTCAGTCTGTCTCTCTCTGCCTTCCTCTCCTCTCCTCTCTCTGTAACCCCCCTTCTCCCACCCCCTTCTTGTTTTCCTCACACTCTGTGCATGTGTCTCTGCCATGTGGTTCACCGTCCCTCTCTCTGGCCTCTGCAGTATGTGCACTACATGGAGAAAAAGACGCTGTGGTGCTCCTACTGGGTCGGCCTGGGCATCCTCTCCTCGGTGGGTCTTGGCACTGGCCTGCACACCTTCCTCCTCTACCTGGTAAGCAAACTTTTTTCTGTCACCACGACAAGTTGTCCACCGCTTTCACACACTGCAGTTATTCACTTGCCTCGGCATGTTTGTGACAGAGCTGAAACTCAAACACAGTTAGCGGATAGTGTTAGTGGTGGTGCAATGACGCAGGTTTCAAAAAGGCTGTTTTGATGCTGTTGTTGGTTGTTGCTAAGGCTTTCATAAGAGTATTATTAAAAGCTTTTGGAGGCTCCTCATGCATTTGCACATGCATACATGAGTGCGTTAGTATGGGGTTTGTGCGTGCGTGCATTTCAAAGTGGGGCGGAGATGAATAGGCGCTGTGGTAACCACACTGTTTTGACAGGCAGTCCAGGAACAATCGCACTCACTGACCCCTCTGACTGAGTGCACATGAGGATAAAAACACTCTCCCTCCCACTCTCTGAGTTCTTTCTCTTTCCTTTCTCCCCGCTCTCCTGCTCCCCACTGTGATGCCCCCTCCCCTTAGTCGTTCTCCTTTTTATGTCTCTCCTCTTTCTTTCCGTTTTTCACCACAACTCTCTCCGTTTCTGGGTGTTTTGCTCTGTTTTGAGCATGAGGAGGTGCTAGGTCTCTTCTGCTGATCAGATTAGGGTCCCTGAACATCTGCTTGTCTTCACTGCTCTGAGTCCATCTGTCATCCGGGAGTCCAGTGTCGCACTTGTGTGCCCTTGCCCAGTGGAGCTGAACTGGAAACTTTGAAGTGCGTTTCCTCCATTCTGCTGTTTTTAAAAGCCAAACTCTTGCGCTCCTAAATGTAACTTGAGAGGTTTTATTTGACTCCCCCTTAGTGGCCAAGCTTAGTTTCTCAGAAGGATGTTAGGATGTCACCTAGTGTTGCGCAGCTGCTACTGCGTGAGTTGGTGTCAGTGGGTTCATGATAGAACTTGGTGATCCTTGCTAGAGGTGCTGTGGTGCATTTTTTATAGAGTTTAACTGATATTGCGTTTGGAAAAGCCGATACGGGTGCAGATATTTTTGGATTTGATCTACTAATGCATTATGCTGTAGTGGGTATTAATAAAAACAATATATATATTTTTTAAAATAACCTGCATTCCTCTGAATGACAATCCCACTTTTCTGCATTTAATGTTTTCCATCAAATTGACTTTTTAAGGGGTAGAAATGCCTCTGAGACTGTATTCAGAACATTAGACTGTGCTATTAACCTTTTCAAACGCTGTCTGAAAAGACAGACACACCAGAACCTAATAATGTCTCGTACTCTAAAATGAGTTCACTGATCAGACTTTGATTAAAAAAACATTCTGTGGTAAGTGAGGATCAATTATTACTTTGAAGATGAATTCTTTAACCGGCTGATTTAAAAAAAAGTTTTAATAAAAGTGTTATGTAACACTGGCCTGAGTTACTTGCCCAACCCGGTTTGTTTATATAGGGAACTCTCTGCTTCCTCTCTTCAACTGTGAGCCTAAACCGCAAGAACAACACGACTGAGCTCAGAGAACTATAATTATTCATGTGATTTTTTTGATTTTTTTGCAGAAGGCCTGTTTAAAGCAGCCATTGAGACGTCTGTGTCATTCTGTAGATTTCTGAGTCCTGACATATTTACAGATTTTTGACGGTGCACATTTCCAAACGACCTGTTTGGAGTACTGGATCAGTGATTCATAACTGGGTCACACTAGACCACTTGCTGACATGTCCCTAAATGTTATACTTGCGCCCTTTTTGGGGGACTGTTTCCTTCTTGCCCATAAAACTTTTGCTCATCATGAGAACATACATGAGGGCCTGGGTGTTTTCATGCTCTTGACTGTGATTTACACACGTCAACATTTGGACAGAACAGTGACTCTGTAAGTGATATATAAGTGCACCACTAGAGATGTTCTCCACTGCAGGGGAGAAGTGCTACAGCTTCTCTTTCAGTCTACAAGTTGGTAAAACTCTTCATGTGGTGCTATAAGAAGTGAATGTTAAAGGGATTTTGTAGACCCCAAACGTAAAGTAAACTTGACTTGAATTAAGATTATATGAAAATGATGGTGTGTTCTTTATACTAAGACTGGATTATTAATATTAGAATGATGAAATCAAGTCTTTTAATGGATTGTAAAACATGTTTAGTGATGCATGTTGTTATGTTTGACTCTTGCAAATACGCACAGGCGGCCTATAAATAATCATTTGACAGAAGATGAATGGCATTTTACTGGATAATATGTTAACTGTTTGAGCCATTTTTAGATGAGAATGTGACTTTATCATCTGGTTAAGTTTCTTTTCTGTAACATGAAACTGTCTTGTTGTTTTTAGAGGGTTGGTTGGACAAATAGAGGAAAGATTTTTCTATGTTTTGAACATTTGGAGAACAAATGTCTAAAGTTGATAAACGTCATGTGCGTCCAGCTTATTAATTTAATTACCCAAAACATTCTGGCAGATACTAATTTTAAATCTAGCATGATGATCCTTTTTCATAGTTGCTGATTAGATGTTTATAACTGACCCAAGCTGTTACTTCAAACAATCAGTAGAGGGTGCCAGTGGTCTTAAGATGTAGACAAACTAGAAAAATCAGAGCAGACAAGTTTAGTAGTGCTTCTCACTGTTCCACATTATTGTGATGATAAAAAGCGTTCGTATTTCTCTTGAGGGCTTAAGCTGATGATTTATATACAAAACAAGAACACAACATATTACATGGAGAGCCTAGAGCACCATAAAACCATTTATTATCACTAACAGACTCCAGTTTCTAACATCGCATTTCATAGGTAGTGTTTTTTTTAAAAAACCTCTGTAAGATTTAAGAGGGCATGAATGCTGGCAGGTCTATTAACCGTTAAAGTCGTCTGTAGTGTTCTTTTCACATGACATCACATGTGACTCTGTGAGGTCACATGACTTCTCCTACCTTCCCAGCTGTCGTCACGCGTCCGTCCAATTTCTGATTCCTTCAAAGGTCTTAACTTCTTTTATTGGAATTAATGCTTTCATTTCCTCCGGTTGTAGTTAGTGTGTGGTCACATTTTTTCTATACTGCATCACAGTTTTGACAGAATGTAGACCTCACTGAGCTGATCCCGCAAGATGAAAGGTTTCCTTTTATCCTCTGTGGGATTGATATGAGTTTTTTGTACTGCTTATACAGGGTTTGACATGAACCATGACCCATGGCAACCGTGGCCACTGAAAATAACATAGGTGCCCCCCTGCGCCCATCAAGATTTATCCCTATTTTTAGGGCCCGACCGATATACGATTTTTGGGGCAGACATCAATTTCAGGAAGAAAAAAAATCAGATACTGATATATCGGCCAATATCTGTCTTATATCTATCTAAGGATATAAGGATATATGGTGAAGAAAGCAAGATGGACAATCAACTGGAAAGTAACTGAGCATGTATGTGCATCACCACTGACACTCTGGATGGTGATGATGCTTGTTATAATCCATATAGCGCCCTCTGCTGGTGAAAGAGAACTGCTAGTGTAATACAATGAAACTCAAATGGAAATATTAATTGACTGGTGATGAATCTGATAATATAGGCATATATCTGCAATAAAATTAGCCCATACTGATAGTCACTGGATATGCTAATATCGGTCGATATTATCGGCTGGCCGATTAATCGGTCAGGCTCTACGTATTTTGCTAACTATGCAAAGAACTTCCAATACGACTTTTCTTGCTGATACTGATTGGGCACTTCAACTTGTGAATCGTTGTATTTAAAGTACAAACCGGATTTCAGTGCACGACAACAACATATGCATGTACATAACAGCACAGGCTTCATATTACTAACCCTGTGTGGGTTGGTTTACATGTCCAAACTGAAGCCTTGCAGAGTCTGTTAAAGTGCTGAATTGTTTACTCTAAATAATTGTGCATTGTCTGTTAGCAAAGCAATGTTGCTGTTTGCTTATATCATGTTTAATATTACCTGAAATCAGCTATTATTCCTTTCAATCAATCAGTTGTTGACAGTCAGATGTTCTTATTGTGTATGCTGCTGGTCTGGCCAAATAAAAACAAAAAACTGGTGTCAATGACATTTTTTTAGGCTGCTCTCCCAATAACAGGGAATCCTCCTTTTAGGCCATATTGAAGGAATTTCCGATGTTCATAAACAGAATTTTTTTATTGTGAGGCACTGACACAACACAGCATTTCACTTCCATAAACATCCTAATTCTTTTGTGGTACTATTCGCAAAGTGTGAAACAAATAGGAAACACGTCAGTTCTGTTGCTGTTTATTTATGGCTGGAGAAGTTATACCTCCCTTTGTACCTTTTATTATTTTTTTACTGGTTGTATTCGTTTAGGCGAAACTCAGAAAGAAGATTTAACGTTAACAGAGTGGAACTATTTAAGCCTAAATCAACACGATGTCAGGTCAGCAAGTAATGAAGCGATACTGAGTAATAACGTCTACAACGAGTACTCGAGTACCCAACCCTATGACATAGTTAATCAGACATTTTGATTAAAATAAGTATTCATAAAAATATGAGTTTACATGTTATTGTCTTTTATAATTATCGACATGTCATAGTTGAAAAAGGCTGTGTCAAGTTGCACAATCTGCCCTTTCTTTGTCGTTTTAGTTTAAATTTTCAACACCAAAACTGTACTTCACCAAACTTAAGGGCTTTGTTTCCTGTGGAGTAGCTTGTGGGGTTGGTATTTCACAGTGCAAGAGTCTGTTCAAGAGGCATTTTGTAAGAAGTAAATGACCACACAATACTAATTAACAGCCTTTTTTGAGAACCAGTAAACGTTCATTTGAGAGTACTGCAGAGCTTCCAGTAGAGGGGGTTGCATAGCCAGTAACATGCAAACAATCCCAGTCAATGAAAACGGAACAGAAGTGGCAGCTCTCCTGTTTCCTGACATGGACAATTGCTGCCCTGCGTCTCCTCTCTGTGTTTGCATCCCGCTGAGACTGCAGGAGATCATTGTACAGGGACAGCACTGGTTATTGGAGGAAGATAAAACCC